TTATATACTGTCACATATTATATAATTTAAACAATTTTAACACGGTTTATATACGTTACATATTATATAATTTTAAAAGTTTGAAAGTGGTTTATATACTGTTACATATTATATAATTTTAAAAATTTTAACCAGGTTTATAGATTGTTACATATTATATAATTTTAAACAAGTTAACGTGGTTTATATACTATCACATATTATATAATTTTAAACAATTTGAACATGGTTTATATTTATTAAATGTTGGGTAATGTTTTAAAAATTTCAACATGGTTATATACGATTACATATATATAACTTAAAGAATTTTAATATGGTTTATATACTATTATGTATTATAAATGTTTAAAAATTAACATCGTTTGTATACTATTACATATTATATAACTTTAACAATTTTAACGTGGCTTACATACTATCACATATTATATAATTTTACACAATTTTAACATGGTTTATATTACTGCTACATTTTACATAATGTTTAAAAATTTAACATGGTTTATATACTTTACATATTATATAATGTTTAAAAATTAACATGGTTTAGATACTCTCACATATTATATAACTTTAAACAATTTCAACGTGTTTATATACTATTACATATTAAATAATGTTTAAAAATTAACATGGTTTATATACTATTACATATTATATAACTTTAAACTATTTTAATGTGGTTTATATACTTTACATATATAATTTAAACAATTTTATCATGGCTTATATGCTATTACATATTATATATTGCTTAAAAATTTTAACATGGTTATATACAGTTACATATTATATAATGCTTAAAAATGTTAACGTGGTTTATACACTGTTATATATTGTACAATTTTAGAAATTTCAACGTATTTATACACTATCACATATTACATAATTTTAAACAATTTTGCCCCGGTCTAGACACTCCATATATTATGCATCTCACGCCGCACGAACCGTATATTCTACATAAACGGATAAAGCGAACAACTGTCAGCATCCTGACGATTTTCTGGATCCACGAAGCCGCTTTGGTCTCTGCAGCCTCTGGGAACGGGGCCTCCGGCTCTGGGGGAAAATGGGCCGCGAGAGTCGGGGCGTCTGGTGCCTCAGGCCGCACCCCGGTCCCCAAACACCAGTCTTTTCCCATTGAAAACGGACTTCAGAAAAGCAAACTGTCAGCGTTCCCGGGGAGGGGGCCCCGTAACATCCCCCCCCCCATTCCCGCTTGTGTCTCTGAGCGTCCCGACTCGGGGCGTCCCTCTGGGGCCCGGGAGCACCCGGTGTCCCCAACGTGAGGCTGGGGGCTCCCTGGTCCCTGCAGCTCAGACCCCACGTCGGCAGCCGCTTCTGCCTGCCCAGCCCCTCCGGGCAGCACTGGCTGTGGGGGGGGGCGAGATATCTGGTTACACGGGATCCTGGGAGCGTCATGCGGGTGTCTCTGCAGGAGTGAGCAGCTGAATTGAGAGAGTGAGTGAAGCAGGTGGCCTTCTTCCTGCGGGTGGGCCTCGTCTAATCAGTTGAGGGTGTTAATAGAACAAAGACAGGGAGGAAAGGAGAATGCGCTGTCTGCCTGAGTCTTTGAGCTGAGACATCTATCATCCTATCTATCCTATCCATCTCATCTATCATCCTATCAATATCCATCTATCCATCCATCTATCCTATCTATCCATCTATCTATATCTATCTATCCATCATCTATCTCTATCCTATCCATCATTCATCATCCATCCATCTATCTATCTATTCTATCCATCTATCTATTACCATCCATCTCATCTATCCTATCCATCTCTATTTCATCATCATCATCCATCGATCATCCATCAATCTATATCTTCATCACACCTATCTATCATTTACCCATCATGCATCCAGTTCTATCTGTATCCAACCGGTTCTGCGTCCCTAGAGAGCCTGGAGGCCCCTGCGACCGACCCCCAGAGGAGCCCTGACCACCCGGCTCTTGTGGACCCCCTGGGCCGGGCCACATCCGGTATCTCCCCACATGGCTGCTGCGGGCTGGAAGCGCATGCGCGACTCGGCTGGGGAGGGGGGCCGGGCGGACGTGGCGTCTGGTCCTTCCGGGCCGCTGCCCCCTGCACGTCTTCCTGTGCTGAGTTTCCCATCTCCTGCCCCTGAAACGCACCCTCTCTGTGCAGAACAACTTTCAGCAAGTGACGGGAGCCTGAGGGCTGCAGCGGGCGCTGGGGAGGCCAGACAGCTCTCGGAGGCCTCAGTTTCCCCTTCTTGACACGAAGCGTTTCCACCGCACGACCCCAACACTTGCATTCTGTTGACCTTTGCAAATGCGTCCTCGAGGATAAAGCGCGTTTGTTCAAACGCAGACGAGGCTCAGGAGTGCACTGCGGCGGTGGGGGGGGCGTCCGCGGGGCAGGCGGCTGGATGCACCCCCGGGGCCTGCAAACTGGCGCCCTGAGCCGTTCCCTGGGGCTGCGTGTCCATGCAGGAGGCGGGCAGTGGTGCAAACGCGGCCAGGGGGTGCACACCATGCGTCCCAGCAGTTCGACAGCGTTTCCCCAGAGGCCCTGGCCCCCGGCTGGCCCTGAAAATTGGGGTCCTGACCCCGCCCGGGGGGAGAAAGGACGACCACCAGCCCCCCCTCTGCACGCGCTCACAGCCCGGCTCCTGGGCGGAGGGAGGAGAGAGGAAGAGAAGCGGGGTCTGCACCAGCCCTGCTGCCCCTCAAAATCCTGCACGAAAGCCGACCGCACCCTTACAATGATTGGAACGGCAAATGCATGTTGTGTACATGCAACCTGTAGTTACAGATATGCAAGCTTTACGTTATGTATATATGCAAGCTTTATGTTGTATACATGCAACCTTTATGTTATATACATGCAAGCTTTATGTTACAGATACGCAACCTTTATGTTATATACATGCAAGCTTTGTTATATATATATATATATATGCAAGCTTTATCTTTATAGATAATATATGCAAGCTTTATGTTATATATATGCAACCTTTATGTTATATACATGGCAAGCTTTATGTTTATTATATATGCAACCTTTATGTTATACATGCAACCTTATGTTATATTTATGCAACCTTTATGTTGTATACATGCAACCTTTATGTTATATTTATGCAACCTTTATGTTACATATATGCAACCTTTATGTTGTATTTATGCAAGCTTTATGTTATTATATATGCAACCTTTATGTATAATATATTTATGCAACCTTTATGTTGTATTTATGCAAGCTTTATATATATATATTTATGCAACCTTTATCTTATATATTTATATGCAACCTGTATATTTATTTATGCAACCTTTATATTATACAGATATATATGCAAGCTTTATGTTATATACATATGCAACCTGTATGTTATATATATGCAACCTTTATGTTATATTTATTTATGCAACTTTTATGTTATATATATATATGCAACCTGTATATTTATGCAACCTTTATGTTATATTTATGCAACCTTTGTTACATATATATATATATATGCAACCTGTATGTTATATTTATGCAACCTTTATGTTGTATTTATATGCAACTTTTATGTTATATTTATATGCAACGCTTTATGTTACATTTATGCAACCTTTATGTATACATATATGCAATCCTTATTTTTTATATATATATGCAAACTTCATGTCATATGTATATGCAATCTTTATGTTATATACATGAAACCTTTATGTTATATATATTTATGCCACCTTTATGTTGTATTTATGCAACCTTTATGTCATCCATCCATCCATCTATCCATCCATCTATCCATCCATCCATCCATCCATCCATCTATCCATCCATCCATCTATCCATCCATCCACCATCCATCCATCTATCCATCCATCCATCCATCCATCCATCTATCCATCCATCCATCTATCCATGAATCCATCCATCAATCACCTATTTATCCATTAATAACCTATCTATCCACCATCTGTCCATCCGTGAACTTCTATTGTCCATCCATCCGTCCATCAGTCATCTGTTATCCCCATCTCTCTATCATGCCTCTACGTACGTATCCATCCATCCGTGCATCCTCCACTATCTCTCTGTCTCTCTATGTATCTCTCCTCTCTCCATCCTCATCCTTCCACTTCTAACCCAGCACAGAGTTCGCTCTGACCGTCCCTATTTCCAAACCTGCAGCTCCCTCTCTGACAGCTGGAACCCCACGTCTCCTTCGCCCCCACATCACCCCTTACTTGCCCCAACCTCGAACACCCCTGCTCACTGCTTCGAGAACGACGAACCCAGAACTCTGCACAAATCCCGTCTTCTAAACCCTCGATAACTTTCAAGTCAAAGCCCGAAGGACTCCTGGGTCCTGGAGCTTTTCCTCCAGTCGTCGTGTGCGGTTTGTTGAGTGAAACAGTGACTTTGCTGCACGGGGGACGGTGTCCGGCGCCCACGATCGTGATGTCCTCAGACGCACGGTCGACACTCACTCTCTGCTCCTCGCACCCACCGCTGGTCACGACCTCTTGCAAACGCTTGAAGAAAGGCAGCTATGGGCGTGTTGTTGATCGCAACTCTGAAGGTCATTGACCCGAAGGAACCCGTAGTTCTGGCTGACATGAATATTGACACGATTTTTGAGAAAATCTTGCTTTTATGTGTCCCTTTGAAGCCCCATCCCGTTCCCACGTCATTTTACAGATTCCCAACTCTGCTCAGCGTTGCCTCAGTTTGGCCTCGATTTCTCTTTTTTGACCCAGAAGGACCATTACAGGTTCAGATCATCAACTTCAACTTCAAAACCGTGCAGGTGACGTGGAACAGCAGCGGGAGCCCCGGGGTCAACCTGACTTTCTCCTACAGGTGAGCACCCTCTGGTGGGCGACACCAAGGCCCTGTGGTCACACCCTTCTTCTTCTGAGACGTCGGCCCCCCAGGTGGGGCTGGAAAGGGCGGATCTGAATGATCAGAATGCGCGAGTGTGAACAGGTGGGGTGTGTTCCAGCCTCAGTCCTCACCGCAACCCCAAATCTTGTCACCTGAGGATGACTGAGTCATGCTCGAAACCGCCTAGATTCTCGGCCCGATATTCGCGAAGTCCTTTCTCACCCCCGGGGCCCGTGTGCAAGGTCTCGGTGTCAATCTTTTGAACCCAGGTCACCAGGGGTGACCCGTTTGCCTCTTTTGGGCTTGTCAGTGTCGCCTTAAACCCTCAGAGTCATGAGTCCAAACGTGGGAAGAAGGGTTTTTCCAGTGAGTTTCATCTCGGTTCTGTGAACGGGAGGTGGGGGATGGGTGGTTGGTTGATCGCACACGAGATAAACCAGAAAGACCACAGAAGACGGAAACTCGACTGTGCATCCCCATTAAATTACTCCCTCAAATCAGGGCCTCATTACTCTACAGATCAAACTGCGGCCATGCAAGCGTCCTGGGGCCACCATAACAAAGGACCACAGGCCGGGCAGCCTAAAAACACAGAATCCATCCTCCCCCGTCCTGGAGCCCAGAGTCTGGGGTCAAGGGTCGCAGGGCCGCGCTCCCTCCGGAGGCTCCAGGGGAGGGTCCCTCCTGCCTCTTCCGGCGTCCGGGGCTCCAGGGTCCCTGGGCTGGTGGCCGCCTCCCTCCCGTCTCTGCCTCCGTCCTCACGGGGCTGCTCCTCTGCGTCTGCGTCTCCTCTTCTGTCTCTGAGGAGGACGCTGTCCTTGGATTCAGGGCCGCCTCCTCCAGGAAGCCCTCCTCTCTCTCTCTCTTTTTTTTTTCTGCTGAGGAAGATTGGCCCTGAGCTAACTGCCGCCAATCCTCCTCTTTTTTTTTTTTTTTTTTTTTTGCTGAGGAAGACTAGCCCTGAGCTCACATCCATGCCCGTCTTCCTCTACTTTATATGTGGGATGCCTACCACAGCATGGTGTGCCAAGCAGTGCCATGTCCACACCCGGATCCGAACCGGTGAACCCCGGGACCTCGGAAGTGGAACGTGCACACTTCACCATTGAGCCACCGGGCCGGCCCCTGAATGTTTCTCTTTTTTACCCACAGCTTCCGACCTAACGAGGGCGACAGCTCCTGCCCCGAGTATATTCTCGAAGACGGCCGCACGGTCGGCTGCGTCCTGCAGGCCGAAGGGGACGGAATCCTGAGCTTCTCCATCCGGCGCGGAACGCGTCCTCTTCTGGCCAAGAGTCAATGGATCAGCTCCTACCGTAAGTGCCCAGAAGCCCGCCATTCCTACCCCAGCCCGGAAGGCGCTGGCCTTCTAGAAAGTTCCATCCCGACACCCACGGGGCCTAAATGTAAAATCAGGCCCCATCCACCCCAAATCTCGTAAGATGTTAAAATAGCGAATGTGGGGGAAAGGGGCGCTCTCATTTTGGAGACGGGGGGTGTTCATGACCTTGTGCTCTGTGACCCCCTCCTCAGTGAAGCCCGACCCCCCTGGAGACTTGACCTTCCGGTGGCAGAGGAGGCCGTGACCGTGACCTGCTCCGAGCTGCCCCACAAGAGCCTCCTCTACGAAATCCAGTACAAGAGCACGTTCGACCCCGAGTGGCAGGTGAGTGGGGCCGGCGGCATCCTCAAGGTGATAGTTTTGGGGTCGCTCATGGGTCGTAGGACGCGGCCGGTCTCGGGTCACCAGGCTAGACCCTCAGGTTCGAATCCTGTCACCAGAATTCCTAATTCCGTCTCCTCTGGGAAGCTCCGGTCGGTTCTTTTGGCGCCTTCAACTGATTAGGGAGGCCCACCCTCGTGGCGAGCGACTCAAAGCCAACGGGTCATAAAAGCGAATCGCGTCCACCTGTCAGCTTCACAGCCACCGTCCAGACTGGCATCCAGCAGAGGAGATGCCGGAAGAATTGGACAAAGTCGACACGTAAAACTCACCATTGGGCAAAGTTCCCGGGGGGCGATGACGCCCTGCACACACTGCCC